CAGGTCGGACGCAAGCACGGTACGTATACACCCGTGTGCCCACAGAACCCTTGCTGACAATTTCCACTAGACATCTACATCGCTGTCGTCTCGTCTGCACACAACGTCTGCCCCAAGGGCTACTACATCGCCATTGTCTCCACCATCGCTGAGGGCGACAGCAACCACCACCTTGAGCTCCAGCCCGGTCTTGACCGTCTCGGAAAGATCGAGGAGAAGTTCATGGGCCCAGCTATCCCACTCTACGAGCCAATTGAGAGCGGTGCCAAGGACAACATCTTCATGTCGAAGAGCTATGACGCCACCAGCCACTTTGAGACAACGACTGGTATGTTTCCGATGTCTGAAATGGTGCACGAAATACTGACATATGACAGATGACATCAAGGACATTTACCAGCGGGCCGAGGGCCACGAGCTGGTTGTCGAGGGTCTGAGAGAGGGCGCGAACTTCAATGTTGAGGAATAGACGGGCTCCACGAGGGGACGGATGATACAAGCATCAACGGTCTTTTAGGTATATCGTTTGGTAATCGGTAAAGACTTGGCTTCTACATTGACTTGCATTCTCAACATGTGTGAACGCGTGATGCTGCGGAGCTCGAGCTCGGTATTTCCTATTTGGGCGATGAGATCGGTCCCTTCCATTTCGACCACCACGCGCGTCTCGACGAACGTGTCAGTCCAGCCCAGATCAAGATAGATAACAAGTCAAAGCTGCATCCATCCGAGGCGTATTGAGTCGTGATGTTGTACCTGTGCCTATGACGACGGTAGATCTTGGCAGGGATACCTCCATGGCTCCGCAACCATCTGAGTACTGCAACGCGTCCACAAAACGTGTCCTCGAAGCGCATTGCTGTTCCCACACTCCTTTACCATGGCGCAATTCGGTCGCTACAGGTTCCTGCTGGTAGCAGTGGTGTTCCATCTGGTGTACATTTATACAATCTTCAGCATACATTTCACAAGTCCAATTGTCCATGGCATGCGCGAGCACCGCGTGGAGACGCAGGAAGCTCCCGCGAAACGTTTAGTGCTTTTTGTTGGTGAGTCGCGTCTAATGGGCGTCCATTCAGCACTGACAGTATTACAGGCGACGGACTCCGTGCAGACAAGGCATTTCAATCGTTTCCCAACCCTGATCCCAATCCTCCGACCCCTCTCGCAGACAACACCAGCGACCCGCGACCTCTCGCCCCGTACCTTCGCTCTCGCGTCCTAGAACATGGCACCTTTGGCGTCTCCCATACACGCGTCCCCACCGAATCGCGCCCCGGACACGTTGCGCTCATTGCAGGCTTATACGAGGATGTCTCAGCGGTTACGACTGGGTGGAAGCTGAACCCGGTCAACTTTGACAGCGTTTTCAATCGAAGCCGGCATACATGGAGCTGGGGTAGTCCTGACATTCTTCCCATGTTTGAGGCGGGCGCTGTACCTGGGAGAGTCGACGCATACTGCTATGGTGCTGAAGAAGAGGATTCCTCCAAAGACGCCTGGGTGTTGGACGAATGGGTATTCGAGCGCGTCAAGAAGCTCTTTGCGGACGCCAAAACGAATGCGACACTGGATGCAGAGTTGAGGCAGGAGAAGAACGTCTTCTTCCTCCACTTGCTCGGAATCGACACCACAGGACATGCGCATCGACCATATTCGTGGCAATACTTGCACAACATTCAGATCGTGGACCGTGGAGTTCAGGAAATTACGGAGCTGATTGAAGAGTTCTACAACGATGACAAGACGTCCTTTGTGTTCACCGCGGACCACGGCATGAGCGACTGGGGAAGCCATGGAGACGGACATCCAGACAATACGCGCACACCATTGATTGCATGGGGTGCTGGTGTTGCAGCCCCATTGAAGAACGTATCAGGCGTTGCTAAAGGCCACACCGAGTTTTCTTCTGACTGGAACTTGGACGAGGTCGAACGCCACGACGTTGACCAAGCCGACGTCGCGGCATTGATGGCATACCTGGTCGGTCTGGACTTTCCAACCAACTCTGTCGGGGTTTTGCCGCTCTCTTATCTTGACAAAGACCCCAAAGCCAAGGCGGAAGCTCTCCTTGCCAACGCTAAGGAGATACTGGAAATGTATCACGTCAAAGAGGATATCAAGAAGTCGACACAACTCCACTACAAGCCGTTCTCTGGCCTTGGTGACGAGGCACATTCTGTCGAACATCGCATTGCGGAAATACAAGCTTTCATCGACAAGGGCAACGATGTAGAAGCTATTCGCGAGACCTACGAGCTCATCGATCTTGGCCTTGAAGGATTGCGCTACTTGCAGACGTACGATTGGCTCTTCCTCCGGACGCTGGTGACTGCTGGCTATGTTGGATGGATCGTATTCGCCATCACGACAGTCATTGACCTGCATGTACTCACCGAACATGTGCCAGCACAAAGAACGGCGGCCAGTATGGTGGTGTTCTCTTCTGTGTTTGTTGCGCTCTGTGGAGTATTCTTCAAACAGGAATCACCAATCGTCTACTACGCATACGCCGTTTTCCCTGTTCTGTTTTGGGAGGAAGTTTTTGCGCAGAGGCTGTCGCTCGTCAAGGGCAGCAAGGTTCTGTTTGGTCATTTGAACTCGGGCGCCGATGTTGCGAAGCTCGTCTTTGCGACTTTGGGCTTTTTTGGTCTCCTCGAGGCTTTGGTATGTAGGCCATGCACAGAAAGACACGATGGTACTAACTCCGGGATAGGTCCAAAGCTACTTCGTCAGGGAAATCTACACCGTATGCTACCTGGTTGCAACATTGTGGCCAGCAGTCTATGGACAGGAGTTTGTGAAGAAGAACATGGCGACAGTTGCCACTTGGGTCCTGTCTTGCATAGGCATGAGCGCTTTTACACTGTTGCCAGCCAACAAGGCAGAGGACACTCGCCTGATGTAAGTGCGTCGCCCACATGAATTGATCTGGGACTAACAACCTGCAGTCTTCTTGGAGGCGCATTGATGTTTGTCGTCGGCGCGCTTTACCTGCTCTTTGAGAAGAGCATTCTCGAAGACGGTAAATCCGAAGCCGAACTTGCCAAGCATGAACTCAACAACAACTCTCGCATTATACTGGGCGCCCAGCTCGGTCTTGTAGTGCTGTCCATGATCGTCACGAAAAGCAGCAGCGGATACCTCCAAGCGCGCGTAGGCATACCATTTGGTGTTCTGACAGTGACACGAGCAACGCTGTTGGCCTCACTCGTCGTCCCTCAACTGCATGGTCTCTACCCGAACACACACTACGTCCACCGCCTCGTAGTCATCTTCTTGCAGTTTGCGCCGACATTCATCATCCTCTCGATCTCATACGAAGGGCTATTTTACTTCGCCTTCTGCATGTGTCTGTTCAGCTGGATGCGCCTCGAGCACCAGGTGTACCTGCATAGCACGGCCAACCCATCGACTGCAGCCATTACATCGGATCCGGCCAAGCCTACCATGGACGCTGCATCCGATCGCCTCAACTCACTCCAAAAGGGGGAGTACAGAACATTGACCCTAGCCGACGCCCGCATAGCCCTCTTCTTCATCTTCTTCATCCAGTCGGCCTTTTTCAGCGCATCCAACATCGCTTCGGTGTCGTCCTTCTCGCTCGACGCCGTCTATCGTCTGGTCCCCATTTTCGATCCCTTCTCTCAAGGCGCACTTCTCATGCTCAAGCTCATGGTGCCATTTGCGGCTCTCTCGGCCAATTTCGGTCTGCTCAACCGCCGACTGGGCGTGGCGCCGTCGGCCCTCTTCATGGTGGTGATGGCGGTCAGTGATGTCATGACACTGAGCTTCTTCTACATGGTCAAGGACGAGGGGAGCTGGCTGGAGATTGGAACGACGATTAGTCACTTTGTTATTGCGAGCTTGTTGGGTGTGTTTGTTAGCGGACTCGAGATTTACAGTGAGTGGACTATTCGGGGGGTGGAGTTTGGTGGTAGCAAGAAGACGCAGGGGAATGGGACCGTCAACGGAAAGGCTAGCGGGAAAGTAGAGTAGTTGGTGTATGGAGTAGTTGTAGTGTGAGTTTAAAATTAGTTTCGTATGCGAGCGTATGGTCACCTCATACAAGGAAAAGCTGAACAAGTGCGCTGAAGTCGACACTACTATAAAAACATCAGTTTGAGAAATGTTAAGGCCATGTAGTCTTATCAGTTCTGCAGAAGTGGCTGTCCAGTTTTCTTTTCGACAGGGTATGATGTTCCAACCCTGTTGAGATAGGGGAAGCAATGGTCGAAAAGTATGGTTCACTACGGCAACGGTAGGATCGCTAGAAGCGCTGTACCAAACACGCAGGAAACGCACGCTGACTGGAGCTAGGAAGATGCATGCTTCCGAGATGAGCTTGGGTTGCCGGGCAACATTGCGCTGTGCAAGTGCCTGAATCGGTCGTGATGCTCTGGAAGCGACGGCAGCCGCGTGGGGAAGGCAGGTCGCTTGAAGGAGCATCACCGTGCTGTCTCGTTATCAGGCGAGATGGGCGGACGGAAGGCTCGAAGCGGTCGCGAGAGGTGTGATGTGGCTGGGGACGGGCGGCTGGGAAGGCTCGGCTCCACAAACTAGCGGGGCCTGCGGATGCTGCGCTGGGCGGCATGCGAGGATGGTCCTACCCAACGCACGACTATACAAAGCCTACGCTCGTCAACAACATCCGTTCGGCGCATTATTACCTCCGCTACCGTCTGCGGCGCATTGTTTACCTCCATCGCTCTGCAAAAGACATATAGTCTGTCTTGTGCGACGCGCCGTGTGTGTGTGCAACGCAGCGCATCATCGATAGTCGTGTTATCGTGTCTTGGAACCAGGGGCCCGCCCCAACCACCGCCGCCAACAGCAGCCCGTCGTTCAACCTCGCACTTTTCCTGCGAATCGAAAGCCTAAATCCCACACGCCCAACCATTCTTTATTCGTATCGTCAGGCGCAATCTCGCTTCCTCTGAACTGCCAGCTTATAACACCGCCGGCCTTCACCCTTCGCTGCAGACTCTTCTTTTCGCATAATGTTCTTCAAACGGTAAGTCGGACCTGCTACGCGCTGCATCTGGTGACGCGCACTAACTTTGCATAGTCGGTCCCGAGCCAATTCTTACGTCGACAACAGTGAGAACCCGCGCTCGCAGTCATTCGACGATTACACAGATAAGCGCCCCGAGTCGAGCCGTAAGGAGTCCCACCACAGCCAGCCCTTCTCCCCTACCGAGGAGCCGGACATGTATCCCCGCCAGCAGCAACCCCAAGAGCCGACGTACGCGCAGAGTGCTCCCCCAACCCACAACAACATGCCCATCCGCTCCCAGCAGGTGCCCCCGACCGGCAGCAGCGCCCCGATGGGGCTCGGCATGCCCGACCTCATCACCGCTGCCTTCAACCAGGCCGTCCAGCCCTACACGGAGAAGATCGAGCAGCTCGAGAGCCAGCTCGCCGACATGCAGAACTGGGTCGACCAGCTCGAGCAGCAGCGCGCCGAGGTGCACAACTGGATCGACAAGCGCGGACTGCGCCCAGGTAAGCCGCCTGCACTGCTCGCTGCATCACTTTGTACTGACCTGCCCAGATGTTCCTGCCTCAATTGCTAAGATCATGGACACAACTACCGCCGATGCCGCGCCCACACTCAACGCCCAGCTCGACCGCAAGATCACCATCGTCAACTTCGACCTGCACCGCCTGCAGGACGACCTCAACGACTCCATCTCCTCGTCACACTTCGCCTCGGCCATGCTGAAGTTCCTGCCCGACATCCAGCGCCTGACACTGCTCCCGTCCGGCCCGCGCTACGCCTTCGACCTCATCCTGAAGCTCGGCGGCAACCTCAACTCCCACGGCGGCATCGACAGTGCCGACGCCGGCGACATAGCAGCCCGCCGCGACTTCTACAACCGCCTCGACGAGACCATGGTCGATGTCGTGCAGCGCCGCTTCGGCGAGGGCGAGGGCTGGGACGTCAAGCGCGAGATCAAGCGCATCGAGAAGACGGCCAGCTACCTCAAGACCTACGGCGTCGAGCCATACTTCCCCTCAACGCTTGAGATGATGAAGCGCGAGATGGAGTTCCAGCCGCACCCCAACGGCGGTGTTCCCAATGGCGGAACAGGAACCCCACCGCGGTACCATTAGATCTCTTGAGTGTGTGAGCTGAGGTGTGCTGACAGTCTGTAGCTCGGGAGAGTCGATCGAACAGAGGATAGAAGCGAGGCTGGCGAAACTAGCACAACTCACGCAAGCTATCAAGAAGTGTCGAAGTGCGCAGGACAGCTTGGGCCAATTGCATCAGTTCGTCGACCACACACCCGGGCGCTCTTCGGGGCCTCCCCCGCCGCTCCCTGCACGGCCTCCGCCTCAGCCGCCTACGAGAACTGCGCCACCTCCACCCGGATCTGTCTCGGATCTCTGTCTTGGTGGTGTTGGCGCCGCTCCGGCTGCTTGATGAACCCTTGTACTTAATACTTTTGACTGAACGAATTTCCTTGATGTGTTGCATGATGCGGGGAAGGGAAGGAATTGGGGGTAAATTGGGGTGTGGTTCTTCTTCTGCATCATACCCGAGCATATTTTGGTAAACGGCGGCGTTTGGGAATTGGGTAGCCTCTTGCATGTAGCTCGCGGCGTACATTTAGTATAGTTGTCGCTTCTTTTGAAGAAGTAATTGAGAACATGACTGAAAATATTGGTACATCAAGATGAAAATACGCGAAGTGAGTGATCCAACCTCAACGTAGGCTCCACGGTATTGAGTTCTTCCTTTGGATGAAGTGGGAGAGATTCGAGCTTCCAAAGTTGTGCTTGACTAGATTGCATGCGCTCAAAAACACCATTCGCCAGAAACATGGTGACGCGCTGGCAGTGCACATCGTCTGGCCTGCATTATGGAAGAAACGAGACCGATGTGGATATGCACTCACTCAGCTTCTTTTCGGAAATCAGGTGTAGCGGCTTGGCGATAGCGGTATGTCTGTGTACAAAAGATGGACTGCTGCTGCTCATTCTCTTCTCCTTCATTATCTCAGTCTGGGTGTGGCACTCCAAAAGTGGCAAAAAGGCTGTCTATGTGTTCTGTCTGCTCCTCCTTTTCCAAAATCTTTTTCGAAAAACCGCATGGGCTTCTGCTCCTTCCTGTCTCCTTCTTTACTTGAAGAACACCTCAAAATATACACATCAACTACGGATGATTTCTAAAAGACAGAAGTGTCTACGTTATGTTCGCGATCTTCGAGATTGGCGAAAAACAAAAGCAATGTTTGTATGTTTTATGATTTTCGAGTATCCAGATTCAACTCAGCACAGCGAAATATCATCAGATCGGCAGCGGAACTCTGGGGCTTAGAATGGTCCAAAAGAGTTTGATCTACTTTGGATGACTTCCCTGGTAGCATGTACGCTCTACTGTTCTTTCGGCGCGACGCTGCCATGAGAGATGGGTATAAAATCTACTCTTCTGCGCCTTCGAACCTTACTTCCTACACCACGTTTTCTTCCTAAAAAGTCCAAAACGCCTAGGACATGGAACAATGTCTGTGCTGTCTTTGTTCGAATAAAAAAGAAGAAGTAATAGCATCATGCCTGCTCTGCGCTGCCTCCCTCACTTGTCATGACGACGTTCAGCCAGAGTTGATCTTTTGAAACAACCCCCGCCTTTCCTGATGGCTGCGTTCCTCCCGCCGACAGTCGAAGTCAGATTTGAGAGAGCTGATCAAAACACTATGATTTGAACCCATGGAGACCGCCGCTGTTGCGCTGGCTGGACTTGGAAGCGTGCGATACACAAAAAACACACGGCCACAAGCGATATGTTAGGAGGAAGAGCAGAGAATTTGATGCACTGAACTTCCGGCGCGATCTCGGTATCGATCTTACGTTCTAGAAGCGATATAAAAGCTCTTCTGACCTTTGCTCTTCTTGTCTCGTTACTTCCTCTACGATCTCTTCCCATTTACCAAATGTACGCCAAACTTGGCCATGTTCTGCCTTTCTTTCTTCCAAAAAAGAAAAAGAACATGTTCGTCAAATTTCCATCACCAAAATTACTGGCAAACTTTCGCATGTCTCTTTGTCGTCTTTGCTTTTCGTACTTCGAAATGCCGAGTGCAGCGCTGCATGCACCGCAATATCCGAGAAGACTGTTCAAAATATGGTTGAAAAGATCCTATGTCTTCCAGCGACCGAAATTTGCATCATTCCAAAGTCTACTTGGCCGTTCCGCAACATTCTCCAAAATAGACCCAGACAGCTGCGATGGCTGCCTGCTCGAAAAGCACTACGGTAGAACACATAGCAAGTCTCGAAACGTCCTCATTGATACATACCGAGGCGACTGTCGCAGGACGTTATACAAGCTCTGCCGGTTCCTCTCTTCCTACTTCCTCTACACCACAGTGCTCGAAGTGCTTTCCTCCAAAACATGGGGCTCTACATCTAATGGGTTCTCCTCTTCGAAAAGATCAAAAACGACTATCGTGGTCTCCTCCTGCCTTTCTTTCTTCTTCTCTTTCCATCAAAGGCGAGTACGCGTTGACGTATGATTCCTCTGCTCTTCTTTCGACTGGAACGCGATGTTTAATCTTCGTCAGAAGGCACACATGAGTGTTGCATGCCCAAGAAGGCGTACAAAACAGACATCCAAAAGTTCCATGGCTTTCCTGGGCCCTGCGGTTTTCCAATCACAAATTTCTATCATGAATTCCGCATGTACGTGCGGTTGAGTGCTGAGGCCGACACTGATTGCATCCTCCATGTTGAAGCATGATCTACCATGGTAACCTATGAACCTGGGCAGTCTTACAGGTGGCGGGGGAAATGATTTCGATATCTGGTTTCCACTGCTGTTATTATCTCTTATACCACCATAACCTCACCTCTGAATAAACAACAAAAAGTTGGATAGAATACAACAATGATCCAGTCTGCTCCTCTCTCCAAAAACGAATAGCAGAAAGCGCGATGGCTGTCCTGCTCTCGGTGTCTTACTTATCTACGTTTGGTCGCGACGGTAGGCGAGCTTCTCAAAAAGACACCTCTCGAGCTGATTCCAGAACCCATAATGCACATGCCAGAAGCTGGTATTGGAAAAGACGCGATGAGAAAGACATGGCCATCGTCACACAACAGTGGCAGTGATGTGCTTCTGTGCCATAAGTCGTCGTCGGAGTGATGCGGTGTTTTGCCTCGGCGCGAGTGCTCCTGGGGGTTCGTTTAGGCGGGCTGTGGTAACTCTCTAGACACCCGCAACCGACGGTTTTCGATGACTTGCCCGATAGAGTAATCCGCTAAAATGACACACTAGCCTAATGGGGCTTGGCGTACGCTTGTGGTCGAATTCAATGCTCCGGCCTCCAGCCACCAGACTTTATCACTCAAATCATCAGATCAACACGATGACATCGACAGCACAGTACGCTTGTGGGATCTGCCGGGAGCGTAAAGTCCGGTGCGATCGCGCGCTTCCAAAATGCAGACGATGCGATCGTCTCAATCAACCATGTGGCTATCAAGTGCACTCGCGTCGCGCACGCGACGATCAGCTCAAACATCTTCAGGAACGGCTGGCCAAAACGGAGGCTCAGCTTGCTCTTACCGCGCAAGATCTTTCCACGACGACCACACCTCAGGCGCAACCAGCTCCTATTTTACAGCATACGGCTGCGAGCACTCCTATGGATCTTGAACATATGCGAGAGACGAGTGCAGTCAATGATGCGGCAACACATAGCTCATTTGTTCCGGACATTGATTTGTTCACTTCTTTTGGGGAAGACATGGACTCCAACATGAGGTTTGACTGGATGAATCAACCGCTGACGGCACTCGAACCAATGGATGATCTACTTCTCAATCAGCCTCAGAAAGCGACCCAGGGCGGCCCGGAAGAATACTTCTCTCCAACCGATCTAAGTTCGCTGTGCGATCGCTATTTCGAATCCGTTTACTATTCCTTTCCGTTCATAAACAGAGATAAGTTCATGATTGAGCCAACGGTGAGCGGTGGCCCTGCAGCGATTGCTTTGGTCTATGCTGTTGCGCTTGCGGGCTGCTCTTACACTACCCTTGAAGACTCCGAACGAAAATCGACATGCTACAACCTAGCGCGTGATTACGCCGAGAGATGCGAGCGAGAAGACTGCATGAGTGATCTGAACTTCATTCAAGCCTTGCTGTTGATAGGCCGCTTTGAGGCTACAAGCCAGAAGCTGGAGAGGAGTTGGCTGACTTTAGGACGCGCCGCTATGCTCTGTAGGCTTTTGAGGCTACATCGAATGGACGAAGTCAGCCATGATCGAAGTACAGAAAGCGGAGAAAGCCAGAACGGCCCTCGGTTCAGTTTGCCGCATACGGAAGATCCGGTGCTACTGGAAGAGCGACGGCGCACATTCTGGGGCTTATACATACTGGAAAGCTACGTGAAAACACGCAGCGGGTTGCAATGTCAGCTGGGAGACGTCAAGGTGCGAAATGTAAACCCTAATGCCTTTCAGGGACTGACGTAGCATTCAGGACTTTCGGATCAACTTACCATCACAAGGACCATTAAACTCGAGCTTAGAACCGCTCAAGATGCCTTCCGTTCTAGACGTGGGTACCGAATTTGGTGTCGAGATATCGTCCTACGCAGGCTGCGTTCTCATGGTCGAATTAGCATTACGCTGCTTCGACCATGGGCAACAACGTGACAGACCGGGTTTCTGGGACGACTACTACGCCCTAGTCAAGAAGACTGATGACCTCTTCGTTCTCCTCAAGCGTCATCTCAACGCGACTTCCATTCGTGAAGATCCCGTAGCGTTCAGTCTCTACATGAACTTACGCGCCACCGAAATCTTTTCTCACGAAACAGCCATCACAAAAAGCGAGGAACAAGGACTACCGCCATTGATGATAGCAGAAAGCCAGCGTCGCTCTACCGCCGCCGCCTTCCAAATATGCAGCGCGGTAGGCCTTAATTTGCCATCGCCACGCAAGGAAAGTAGCGATATCATCATGTTGCAAGCTATCTTCATTGCCTGGCCTTTGACTATGGCACTGAAAGCATTACATCGCGAACTCATCAATCAAGGGGGAAGGGAGACTACCAATGGTGTGATCGCTTCAACCCGCTTGCTTTTCGCGGCTGTAGATCACATTGAAGAGTCGGAAGGATACTGGCACCAAAGCGTAATGCATGTTGGGGCTAAGTTGCAAGAATGGGAAGAGAAGAACGGCTTCGAATCAGTGGCTCTATGATAACTTCCTGGCGTCTCTTTGGTGTAAATCGCGGAAAAGCGGCGATGTCGGCATCATAACCGCTGATGACTACCGCACACACTCTAGTAATTAACACTTCATCTGACCCAGATCAGGTCTCTTCGATGCAATCCTCCCCGTCAGATATTCTACGTCTTCTTTCGGTTGTCATTATTTTAACAGATCAGTATCCTCGGGAGAAAGTGGGCCGCTCGGACTCCGTGTCCGTGTCCGTGTCCGCCCCGTCTGGACACCTCTACGGTCGTTATAGTCGCCTTGCAACTCTTCGAGCTTATCTCTGTTCTCAACATCCCTTTTCCTTCTTACGAAGCTATCTCAAGCTCAATCGAGACCGTATCTACGTCTGCGAAAGGTACATGCCATTGAGGACTGATTAAATCCTTCAAACATGGACTACACAACTACACGACTGAGTCCGAACGACTTGAATTGCGAGAAGAATGCAGAATCGACAGATTTGAGTACTCAGAGCCCACCTGCTCACGGCGTCACTACAATCGCCAGGTCAAATCCTCGCAACATCCATGGTTGGAAGGTAAGCAAGCCACCGGCACTTATACGCATATATGCCATCACGTCCAGAATAGATGCTAAAACAATATGTTTCCTTCCATCTAGTGGGCAACCGCTTACTCCGCCATGCTATCAACAACCCTCCTCTTCGCCCTCGATAACACCATCGTCGCCAACATCCAACCCGCCATCATGACTGACTTCGGCCACCTCGAACTGCTCTCATGGATCGGAACGGGCTTCGCCCTCGGCACCATGTTCATTCTACTCTGGGGAAAGATCTATGGCGTCTTCAACATCAAATGGGTTTACATCTTCAACATCTTCTTGTTTGAGGCTGGCAGTGCACTCTGTGGTGCTGCGCCGAATATTGAGGCGCTCGTTATTGGAAGGGTTGTTGCGGGCGTTGGGGGTTCGGGCATGTACTCGGGTACGCTGACGTATGTGTCGGTTCTTTCGGATGAGAAGGAGAAGCCGGCGTATCTTGCGGGGAGTACTGTTGTTTGGGGGATTGGTAGCGTGCTGGGCCCGGTGGTGAGAACAACCATACAACTCTGTCTTTACTGGATGTATGCTAACTTTTTACCATTAGGTCGGCGGTGCCTTTGCGGCAAGTAGCGCCACTTGGAGATGGGTATGTCGTTTCGTTTTTTCATCTTCGGGTTCTTGCCACAAGTACTGATCATAAGCTAGGGGTTCTACGTCAATCTTCCTATTGGTGCTCTGTTCGCACCCGTGTACTTCCTCCTATTCCCCAGTATCGACCCCTATCCATCCAAAACGCTCACCGAGAAGCTACGCCTTGTCGACTGGGTCAACGCCGTCATCTTCCTCGCTGGTTCCGCCTGCCTAACCGTCGTGCTCACCTTCGGCGGGGTCATCTACCCGTTCAGTTCCGGAACTGTCATTACGCTGTGGGCCATCACGGGCGTTCTGCTTGTCGTCTTCATCGTCACGCTGAAGTTTCATCCGCTCATTACCAAAGGCAATCGACTGTACCCACTGCATTTCTTCAAGCAACCGACATTGATCAACATGCAGCTTCAGGTATTCCTATCCTCTGGTGTTATCCTGGTAAGCTGCTTCCGAACAATGATGAAGTCAAGATGCTAACCTATCCCTAAGGCCATGACTTACTACATACCCCTCTATTTCCAATTCGTCAAGGGCGATGGCGCACTCGAGGCCGGCGTCCGTCTCCTACCATTGATCATGTTCATGGTCTTCGCGTCAATGGTGAACGGCTTCTTGATGCCGAGGTATGGCTTGATACCGGGCTGGTACATCGGAGGGAGCACACTGGCCCTCATTGGCACGGCTCTGATGTGTAAGACTTTGCATCGCATCCGGGTTTGAAGTAACTTCACTAACGTCTTTCGCAGACACCGTCGATGAGGCTACACCCAATGCCAACATCTACGGCTACAGCATCCTCGTAGGAGCTGGCACAGGGTGCTACATCGTCGCAGGTTTTGCCATTGTGCAGTCTTTGGTTCCTGTTCATGAGATAGCCAACGCCGTTGGTGCCATGACCATTAGTCAAGACCTCGGTATGGTTCTCTTCCTCGCCATCAGCGGCAGCCTCTTCCATAACGTTGCTGTCGACAAAGTCGGAAAGGCGCTCCCGGACGTCTCTCCCACAGAGATTGGGAACTTAATCGCGGGATCAAGCAGCAAGACCTTCCAAGCACTGTCCGATGAAGAGAAAGCTTTAGTCATTCCCGAGATAGCCAGCGCCATGACCAGCATTTGGGCTTTCTTTCTTGCTGCCGCTGCGCTAAGCGTGATATGCTCCATTCCATTACTGGTGAGTCGTATTCCCAATTTGCTTTCCTTCCGCTGGGTATGGTTCACTGACGTTAATGGCAGAAAGCCAAACTCGGTGATATGGGGAACGGTGCTGTGGCGACTGCGGCATAGTTTTTACCGTGACTGAAAGTGAGCATTTCGGATGGAAGGATTCTTGATGTGTGGAAGCTTTCTTTCCCTGGTTTACTTTCCTCTACGCTGCTGAAACCGCAATTCATTGACTCGTCATATTCCACGCGTTGCAACGGGAATATCAACTCAAATTCGTTTCCTCTCTCGAATCTATCATCAGTAAAACCTAGCATCTCACAATAGCACCCATTGCACATACGGGCAGCAAATTCCTAGGCGGAGATTTCGCGATTCTGGAATCAGATGTGTACGCCCATGATCCGCCCTGGCCGATTGACAGGAGGGGTGGATCCACCAGGCAACCAATAGAGAACGAGCGGCCGTTTGTGTCCGTTCCTGCCTTCTCATTTCGGCGTATCGTCGACTCTTGAGACCATAGATTAAATTAGAAAAGACTTTGGAAATGATTGCACACTCTCAACAAGAGAGAAGACTGCTTTAGTAGAGTCATGTATGATTTGAAGATGATGTGGTTTGTGAAGGCCATCAATGAAGCTATTGTTGGTTCCAGCGAAGTGGAGCCCAAACTCCGCGCGGGAGCCCCACATTTCCTGGTCGGCAGAACCTTCCGCCGCCCAAAATTTCGAGCCGTTCCAGGTACTTTCCAGCGCAACTTTCAGATTTCACTTTACCACAATCTACTCGTCTCCAAACACCCGTCACGATGTTCGCCGTTCCCGGATGGAACGTTGCCGCGCAGGTGAAGACCCAGGTCGAAGTACCAAAGCCAAAAGATTCCACGAAACCTGGAAAGAAGGCGCAGAAGCGGAAAGAGAAGCGCGAGGAGCAGCAGGTCAATGCAGACAACTTGGCCGAGCAATGGGATAACATAGCCAATGGAAAAGGTGCGGAGGTGGAGAAGACCGAAAAGACCGGAAAGACCAAGAAGCCAGAGGCAGCAAGTGTAGAGGCGACAGATGAGGCAGCGCAAGACAAGCGTGGGAAGAAGAGGAAGAGGGGAAAGGCTGGAGGCAACAAAGACAAGGAGGCAGGCGCAGATGGCGCAAAAGAAGTGGACGCGGATACGGCGGCGGTAGCTGAGCCTGTAGAGGCTAAAGCAGATGCTGCGAAGTCTGCTGAAGAGAAACCCGCGACAGCCGACAGCGAGGCAAAGCGCGAGAAGAAGAAGCGCAGGAAGGAATCTAAAGCCGATAAGCTCCTCGCCGCAAACGCAAACGGCACGAACCCCGCCTCCGTGACTCCAGTTCTGGAGAACCTCCTTCCCGAGCCCAAGGGCCTCACACCTCTCCAGCGATCGATGCGCAGCAAGCTCGCCAGTGCCCGATTCCGTCACTTGAACGAAGCGCTTTACACGAAACCCTCTGCAGACAGCGCGTCTCTGTTCAAGGAAGACCCATCAATGTTCGAGGACTACCATCGCGGTTTCGCACAACAAGTCGAAGTCTGGCCATCGAACCCTGTAGACGGCTACGTAAACAGCATAATAGTACGAGGCAAGCTACGGAATAAGGACATACGAAAAGACCGAAGAGGCCCACCAAAAAATGCAGTTCGCAGAGGCCCCGGTTTCGAAGAGGAAGAAACCACAGCCATCGCACCACCCCGCGGAGACGCGAAGCCTCTCCCCCGAGACTTCAAAGGCCACTGCACCGTTGCTGATCTCGGCTGCGGAACAGCCTCGCTATCCTACCGCCTCCAACCTCATCTCAAATCGCTCAACCTGACATTCCACTCCTTCGACCTCTCCAAACCCACCGGTCCCTCAGCTGACCTCGTAACAATCGCTGACATCTCCGCGCTGCCCATCTCCGAAAACAGTGTCGACGTAGCCATCTTCTGTCTCGCCCTCATGGGCACAAACTGGCTCGACTTCATCGACGAAGCATACCGTATCCTGCGCTGGAAAGGTGAACTCTGGGTTTCGGAAATCAAATCGCGATTCGGGCGTGTGGACAAGAAAAAGGGCGGTGTGCCTATCAACTCCATTGGCTCCCTCAAGAAGACTATGGATAAGAAACCTGCAAAGAAAGCTAAGGCTGATAAGCCACCTGAGGAGGGACCTGTCGATTCGGAAGACGAGGCCGAGCTCGCGGTCAATGTAGATGGCCAAGAGGGCAAAGAAGGAACGGATGTTTCTGCGTTTATTGAAGTGCTGCGGAAGCGTGGATTCGTTCTTGATGCTTTACCTGAGAGGCCTGGCGATGCGATTGATTTGAGCAATAAGATGTTTGTCAAGATGCAATTTGTCAAGGCAGCGCATCCGAGCAAGGGCAAGAACGCGAAGGAAGATCAGAAAGCGGGGGCTGTGGCGCAGAGGGGTGGTGGTATGAAGTTTGGGCTCAAGGGGAAGAGGTTCGGTGCTGGTGATGGAGATGACGAGGGCGATGCAAAGGATGGTGCGGTCCTGAAGCCGTGCTTGTACAAGATTAGGTAGACCTGGGAGTGCATAGTTACGATAAGAACTGCGTTGAGGGGCGTTGAAAGCCTTTCTTCATTTGATCTATCTTATCTTCGTAAAACTACGTTAATGCATATGAAGCTTCTTCGCTTCTAATCCTGTTCCCTGGTAATACATGCATGCTATCGATGCCATGTCGTGAGTTCGTCAACTCATGTCCCCGTCATCGAGACTACTTTGAACTGTTCAGATCTTTCCAAAGGGTTAAATCTTACTGAGTGAGACTACAGCGGGTGTAGACGAGCGCCATGTGATCCTGATCTTATGGTGCTGTGGTCGTCTCGTTGACTAACCACCGAGAAGGAAACTCGCGGCATGTTCGACGTTGCCTCCGAACATCTCCAGTGCCTGTATGGCTTCCTGTTCTGAACAGCCAAACATGCCAGTGAGTTGCTGGATGTTTTCCTGAGGGAAGTTGCTTGTGGGTGCAGATGCTACGGGCGCCTTGGACGCTGTGGGTTGGGCTTGCGGCTGCGCTGGTTGAGAAGATGATGACGATGCTCCGGCATTCGAAGGACCAGCTGCAGCGCTACCTTTCGGTCGAACGGCACCAGTTTTCGCACCAATCTCCTCTCCGTTGGGACCTTGGACAGTTGGCTCGTTCATTTCCGCCTCCTCAAAGCTCCTGGGGATTTCCGACTCATGCAAGAAGGGTACTTCCTGACCTTCAAAGCATAGGGCGTTCTTCTCGAGATCGATCTTGGCGCGGTAGCGCTTGAGCATGTCCAGACCAAACAGTAGGTCGACGTCCTTGCCCTCCATGACTGTGAAGGCGCAGGGCATGACCGCGCCTCCGATCTTGATCTCGGCGTGATGTACACGACCCAGAATACGGGCAGTGCCGACACCGCGTGCCATACCGGCATATCGGACGTCCATCAGGCGCATGATACCACATCGCTCGGCACAGTCGGGGGACATGATGGTGGCCTGGGCACCAGAGTCAACGAAGGCCTTGACAGGCACGCCATTGACCTCGGTGTTGACGTAAAGCATGTGTACGCGCGTGAACACTGTGACATGTTAGCTTCCGTGAACACAGCCCCTCACTTATATATCCAATTGATCTATCCGCCGGTCGAAGTTGACATACCTTCAGGGTTCTCGTCGTATGCCTTTTGCAGGTTCTCGACTACGCGGTCCTGGCGGATGATGTCTTCTATCTTTCGTTGCGCCTCCACGTTGAAAGGGTCTTCGTTGAGGAGGGCAATCTGGTTCTGACGCTCGCGCTCCGACTCCTCGGCCTGTCGTTGCCTCATTGCATATGTATCTCTCCAGCGGGTGGGGTCGTTGACGGCGGCGGCGAGCTCCGGGTCGCCCTGGCGCAGCTTGTTCATCTGCTGGGGGTCGTTGAGGACAAGCTGTCGCACGCCTTCTGGATCAGGTTGCGCGGGCCTGCCCGGCTGCTGGAGGTTCCTGTTTGGTCGAGGTGCGGCGCGCATCACAACGGCCAGCATCTCGCCATCCCGTATTCCGGCGTCCTCTAGTGTCTGTGTGTCTACGGCTACCGGCTGGCCGTTCAGGTAGAGGCTCTGTGACGCGGCGGGCAGGCTGGTGTCGGCCTCGATGAAGCCCTTGAGGTCCTTGACGGTACTGCCGGGGGGCAGTTCGAGCGTCAGCAGGTCCGTGTCGGCCTGGGTGCCGGGCGCGGTGATGGATATGGTGACGCGAGGCCTGGCGGCGTGTGTTAGCAGCGTGCTGGGGGTGGTGGCACAACCACGGCTCCGGAATCGACTCACATGGTGGTTCGGAGCGGGCTGGGGCGTATGCGGGCACGTCTGGATGAGGCCAAAGAACGTGACACGGTGGGAGGTGAGGTTGGGTTGGGCGGGTCGGGGCAACGGTGTCTCGGTGCGCAGGAGCTTATAGGAAGGAGGCACTGGGCCGTGATGGTCTGGTCGCAACCTGGGACTGGAACGGGCCGGAGGGTCCTCGCAGTGAGAGAGGGAGAGGGCACGTCAGTCGCCGCCTGCTGGGCTGGAAGGGAATGGAACGTAGTGGAGCCGCGCACCCAGCGTCGGATGAATCAGCGATCAGAGGGCACAGGCTGCATGTTGTGAGAGTTTCGCCTAGGCCACCAAGGCTGTCACTCGTAATATACCAGCAACGTCGGGCTGGGGCGTAGGCGGAGGCGCGCAGTCGAAGGAGTAGTACTACTGCATCCAAACCACGACGTTGGCGGTGTAGGCCCAAGCATGGCCAGCAAGCGGGGCAGCCGACGCGCGGGAGAG